AATGCTTCTGATGCCGGAGATTAGGGAGAAAAGCTTGTAAACACGAATCCCTGAAGATCAGAGAGAGAGAGCCCCAAAACCCACATCAAAAGGTAAATAAAGAGAATTGCCAAGTTGCTATTTTTAAAAGTACCTTTTCTTTTTTTTTCTCCTTTCTTTAATAGATCATTACTCTGCAGAAAACTGTGGGTAACTGTTGATATTGCTGATGTGTGCTGGCCTAGATTCCGATCGCAGTGGCTCTAATAGGAGATTTAGTTTAATTCCATGTCAGTGCAGTTATCCCGAATTCACATCGCTGCAGCTCAGTGCTGCGATTGCCTGTGGTGGCCATCAGGCAGAGCAGAAGGTGGTGCAGGGTAAATGTGACCCTGGTTCTTGTTGAGTTAGAAGGAAAGGCTGCAAAATACAGCTGAAAGCTCGAGGGCTGCACAGCCCTTCCTGCAAGAAGCTGCAGCTTTCTGGCATGGAAGATGAAGCTGTTTGGGGACAGAAGCCCGGATGATCATTTACTTGCAGCCAGTTCCTAAAGGCTGGGATGACCTGTTTGGAAATTGATTTGAATCCTTGCTTATAGGTAAACCAGCAGGAAACTGGTATGAGCTGGATGAATATAAATCAAGTGTGGATTTTTGGAAGGGTTTGCACTTTTTGATCAATGCACCCTTTGAGCTGAACTGTTCCTTGCTTTGGTGCGACATCATTTTGTTATATCAGAGTGTTGGTGGGGTAAGAGGGGCACAGCACACAGTGCAGAGGGCCTACCTCTGGTAGGGACAGTATAAAGATGAAACACAGCAGTACAGCACATCTTCATCCACGAGAGCATCCCTCCTGGGCTATGCTAGGCACAATTTGCTGATCTAAAGAATTGCAGCTGTTCTGAATGGACATGGTTTAATGCAACCGGTTAAACTCTTCTGCATATATCCTGGAGGAAAGCTCTTAATGCACGTTTTAAAAATACTTTGCATTGACTTCTGAAGCATCCGGATTTCTGTGTTGGATAACCTAGAGAGCAGCCAGAGTCAAAGATCAGATTATTTTTCACTTTGACTTGTTTGTTGTGGTTCATCTTGCTGCACTTGTGCGTATTTGTAGCTGTCATGTGGTCTCTGATGTGGATACGTGCCTGTGCAGGCGCAGGGGCTCAAGCTGCTGCAGGAACAGCCCAGGCAGAGTCCACATCCTGCTGAAGCTTGGACTTTTTCAGTGATGTGGTGGTTTGTTTTCAACAGCCCTTCCTCTGCAGGGAGCAGCCCAAGCTCAGAGCTGTGACCCACATCACCCAGTGAGAGGCTCAGCCTTTGCAGGTGCCTGGGCAGCTCTGATGCTCCGAGTTCTCCATATAAGGGTTTGGGATGCTGAAGGCTGAAAGCAGCTTTCTGGGCCAGGAGAGGTTTTACATAAGCCAAGCTGACCGTGCTCAGCTCTTTATTGCTGTCTAGCTGCTGAATTATTTGTAGCAGACTCTGGATTGCTTCAGATCCTGGGTGGAGAGCAGAAGTCCTGTGGGCAGTGCAGGGCACGGCTGGGAGATGGGGAGATGTGTGTACCACTGTTGTCCCCAGGAGGGTGGGGAACCCGGCGTCCCCTGCAGTGCGGGATGAGGGCTGCAGCTCTGCTGTTTCTTTGCTTCAATTACAGCTGGCCATCCCTAAGCAGAGCCTTGGCTGCCCATTTCCCTGCCCTGCGCCTGCTATGCAGGGCTGCCTTTTGCTGTGAAGGGGGAAGGAAAGAACGCAGCAGGGAATGGCACTGCACAAGGAGGGGGAGATGGGGTTGGCAAATGTCAAGCTGTTTGCTTCCTGCCTTCCCTCTCAAGAAATTCTGTGGGGGGAGGAGGCGGTGGCTCTCACTGAGGATGAGGCCCAGGCCGTGGCCAGGCGTGCAGCTCTTGGCTCAGTGCTGGTTCTGCAGAGCCCTCGCTCAGCTGCAGGCAGCAGCCCTCATCCTGCAGTGCCAGCACGGCCTGCTCTGACTGCCCTTTGGCTGAGCCCGGTGCCGCACTGTGCCCAGCATCCTGCTGCTGTAACATGGGCACCGGGTGATGGGATGGGCCAACAGGAGGTGCAGTGGGGCTGGGGGTGAGATGGGACCTTTCTGTGCCCACTCTGCCTGCAGCCCTGCAATCCCTTTCCTCCAGCAGCTTCTATGGGTTCTGTGGGGTTTTACACTCAGCTTCCCCACCTCTTGCACAGCACGGAGCATCTCACAGAGCTCTCACAGGACTGTCCCTGCCCATCGCTTAGGCTGCTCCCTGGTTCTGCACACCCGGGGTGAGCCTGCTGCAGAGCCCTGTGCTGTCCTGAGCCGCAAGAAACAGGCTGGATTGGGGGTCAGAGAGCTGCCAGGGGGCCCAGCAATCCCACAGCACCACCAAGCACAGCCCACAGGTCGGGCAGGGCCTCCTGCTGCAGCCCTTGTCACAGCAGCCAGGTCCCATATCTGGGTCAGTGAGCGGAGCTGATCGGCACGGGGCTGGCTGCAGGAGGCTGAAATATTGTTCTGTGTGCTGTAGTAGCACCTGGTGTGAAAGAATTGGTTGGTGCATGGCTGTTGTAGGGCAGAGCATGGCACAGCCTTGTCTTAGTGCGTCCTACTGCTCTGCTGCCTGCAGTGCCTTGCTTCGCTTTGCACCATCTTTAAGCGCTGGGGTACGGACTGCAGCTGTCCAAGCCAGGTGCACTGGATTCTTACAAGGGAAAAACATTTCTGGAAGATGAGAATTTCTGCTCATGCTCTGCTTGTCCTCAGACTGTGTGGTGTTGTGGTGTCCTGGTGCTGGAAGGCACGGGGGGGGGGAAGAGGGGTTGTGAAGCTGTGAGTGCTCCAAGCCCCAGCAGCTCACAGGACATACGGGCAAAGAGGGAGCTGATGGTGGAGATGAGCACTGTCTGTCATGCACCAGCAGCAAGGCACACGGGTGGGCTTAGAGAATGATTGTTCCGACACAGTATCAGATCTGTTTCTTCAATGATACAGTTGCTACTACAAATGTGTATTGATAATGCGTTGTGCTACAGGCTCTGCATTTTAGCAAGGCTCCTTTGCGTTCTGCTTCTGTAGATCGCCTCAGCTGCTTCTTCCTGTGGCTGTGCAGCATTTGGGATGAACGTGGGGCATCCTGGCTGTGGTTTAGTGTTTGCTTTGGGTCCCGGAGCCTGCATGTAGTCTGGAGCAGCAGTTTCACAGCCCTGAGGTCATCTCCAAGCACCAGGTCAGGGGAGAATTTCCGTGAGAATGACAAAATGAAGTCCCTGTGCTACAGCTGAGGGAGCTTCAGGGCCTGCAGTGCTCTCACTGGCACCGAGGCCCTGCTCAGCTGCAGGCACTGCAGGCATGGGGGGACGCCTGTGCTTTCTCACTCTGTGCCCCCTCCCTGTGGATGGGCACTGCTTCTGTCTGGAGCCATTGCTGGCCAATGTTCTGTTTCGTAGTAGGGAAGTGCTGATGTTAGATGCCCTCCTTACCTGGAGCGCTCTCCTTGAAGATTGCTCCTCTTTGCTTTCCTAATTGCTGCTGCTCAGCTGGAGGTAGCGTGCCTTCCAAACACATTATTTTGTTATGCTGCTGCTTACTAAAGGGAAAAGAGAATATGAGAGAATATTGCTTTGTGCTGAGTTTTTCCTCTTTAACCTTCTGCGTGCTGACACTTTTCTCTGATGAGGGACCTCCTGTGGCAGACACAGGACGCAGCCCCCAGCTCAGCTCTCTGAACCCGCTCCTGCTCAGCTGCAGGTGCCTCTGCAACACAGCCTCTTACTGGGGCATCTCCTTGGGAATAACTGCTCCCACGCAGCGAGTGCCTGCAGTGAGAGGCAAGGCAGGAGGTGCTGAGTTAGTGCTAAGCTTGGGTGGGATGGGGTTCCAAGCACTTTGGTGCAGCCCTTGCAGGCAGCAGTGCTTGGAGCTGCCCACCACAGCCGTGGTGGTGGAGGAGGGAGGAGGAGCTCTGCAGAACTGGGGCTGCAGCAACACTTGCAGGGAGCAGCTGAACCCTGCAGCTCTGCAAGGCAAGGCTGGGAAAGCAATCGTTTGCTCTGATCAGAGCTCTCTCCTATGGCTACAGCCCCCAGAACTGCTTTGCTTAAACAGAAGGGTCACAAGGAAGCTTCTCTGCTGAGGCCCTGAATTTGTTGCCAGTTACCTTTTAGTGAACAGGGGTGCGACCTGCTCCAGCCCGTCGCGTGATTTCACGCTGTATTGGAACAGTGCCTTCTGCAATGTTTCCATCCTGTTCTTGAGCTGCACGCTGTGCCTATGAAGCACTGCATCCCACCACCGTTGCACATCTCACCCCTGACATAGCCCAGAGAACCATCCTGGATGCTGCCACCAGGTCTGGGAGTGATCCGAGGAGGGTCTGGTGTTTCAGAAGCCTCGTGCTGGGGCTGGTCCCATCTTGCTGGGACAGTGCTGGTGCCCACAGCACTTCCTCAGGGCAGATTCGGCTCTCTGCAGATGAGGGGGTTGGTGTGGAAGAGCTCTGGGTCACAGCTGCAGGCTTTGAATGAAGGCATTCACATCTGGGTATCTGCGTCTGGCCTTCAGGGTAAGCCTATTTCTGAGAGCTGTGTCCAAATGCTTCTTGAACTCCAGCAGACTTGGTGCCGCTGTTCTCGCATTTGCTGAATCTGGCGAGTGACCCTGGGGAAGGGACTTGAGGGCTGCTTGCGCTCTTTGGGGGTTCACTGAGATGAGGATGAGCACGGGTGGAGGTGGGGGTGTGGACAGTGTAGGGGCAGCTCAGCCTTTGGCTAAGCAGGATGCTCGTAGCCTTCACATAAGAAGAAAGGCAACTATGAAGCCAGTGGGATGTGCGGCAGGCCACACGCAGCATTTTGCTTGCAAAGCCTTCCATTCTCTTTTCCTAAGCCTGTATTGTCACCTGGTCCATGTGGCTAACTTTCCTCTGTGTTGTAGCTCCAGCTTTTCTGTGCGAATGCTGCAGTATATCTCTGCAATATTGACTGTCTTTCTCTTATTTCCCTTCTTAGATCTACAATGAGAATAGAAACCTGTTTGAAGTCAAGGAGAACGTGCCCAGAAAATTAGTGGAGAAGGTTGCAGGGGACATTGAAAGCCTGCTGGCCAAGAAAGTCCGTGCATTAAAGGTAAGGTGATGTGTGCCAGCCCTGGCTGACACTCAGTTTTGAAGAAGATGATTTATGCTGTTGTAGCACTACGGTTTTGGCTTTAAAGTAATTTCTATGGTTGTGTGGCTTTTTCTGGGAGCCGCGTCTGCCAATTGGCACTTATTCACATCAGTGTTTTTTGGAATACGTCTGGCTGTCACGTGAGGAATTATCCCATGAGGATCTGCTATAGGTATCTTGTGGATTCGTGTCTCCTCCCAGCGTGCCATTAACAGCTGGAGGTGCTGCCATAGGAGTACGAGGGACAGCCAAAGCTTGGCAGCAAATTCAGTGATAGGTGTACGGTGGGTAGGAGCAAAGGTGCTTCCAGTGTCCCTACACAGCTCATGAGTTACAGACAAGTAGGGTTTTTTTCCTGTTTAGAAGCGCATGAACCAGAATGTTTATGTGCTGATGCCTGGCTTTTGAATCCTGTGATGGACTACATGTATGAGCTGCCCTCGTGGGTTCCCTGCGTACATTTCCGAATCTACCATCCCATTTTGCAGCACTCCTTGTGAAATGAGTTTATCTGTAGTGCAGCGAGGCAATCTGCTGGTGGTGAGGCAGCAGCGGGCAGAGATCACAGGGCTGTGTGTCAGGGATGGGACGGCGTGGGGCTGTCTGTAGGGCTGACGCGGGTGGTGGACACGAGCTGGGGAGAAGAAGGTTGTTACATGTTTGGCTTCTGAGTCTGGGAGGTGTAGGGCATGCATAGGGCATGCTGCATCCCTGTGTTCGTGCAGTTTGTGGGCGTGCTTGAGCACATTTCATGCTCTACTCAACATCCCAGAGGTGTGCACCCTGTCAGAAGGGCCGGTTGGACAGCAGCACGCCTGGCAGCCTGCTGCTGTTGTGCCTCCCTTTGCCTTGGAGTTTTTGGGCAGGGGTGGTTGGTGCATTGCTAAAGGCTCACGTGGTGCTGGGCCTGGCACAGGAGTGGTTCTCACAGCGCCCGGACCCAATAACCAGCACTTGGTACTGCTTTAGTGATGGAAGAAGTGATCCACTGACCTGAGTTAGTGCTTTCACAAGGCTCCTTTGGAGAACTGCTGCTGGATGGAGCAATGCCTTGCATGCCACAGGCACGTGGGTGTTTGGTGCCTTGGGTTGGTGGTGCTGACATCTGGAAATGGAAAAGTTGGTGGGTTGAGATGTTGGACCTTACGAATATCCTCCACATTGTGCTAAGCTCCTCCAAAGCAGAGGGGATCCCACAGCTTCCTGCTGTGTTTTCTTCTGCCTCAGCTCTCCTCTAAGTTGATTCATCTATCATGGAATCATTTCCTCCCCTTCTCTCATGACTCATGAGAGCAGTGATGACTTCTTGAGATGTATTTTTCAGCACATGAGTCAGGTGGGACTCCGTGTGTCAGGGAGGACAGGTGAGGAGGAAGAAACAGAGCCTCTCCTAGAAGCATGAATTGCCGTGTCACTCATGGCCTCTGAAAAGATGCCTCCCTGTCTTGTCTTCTGCAGGCGAGAGGAGGAATATTTCCTGTGCTTTGATGAGGCTTTGTAGGAAGGTGCTTGCTAGCCTGTAGGCACGCACGATGGATGCTCAGCACAGGACTGGCATTCTGATGAGGTAGTGATTCAGTCCGGCCATCAGAGCCCATTTTCCTCTGTTTCTCAGTGAAAATATTAACATGTCATTATGAAAGTTCAACAGTGTGCAGAGCGTTGATTAATAATACATGGTTACTTACCCCGAGTGTTGCCTTTCTAGAAGCAGAAATGAAGCAGAAGGCCGCTGATGTCGGTGATGGCTGGTGGCCGTGGGGCCATGCTGCAGCACAGTGCCAGTGCTCATGGGATGCTCTGGTTCCCCACAGGCATTTCAGAGGAGTGCTGGAACCAGGGGTGTGGGGCACAGAGGGTAATTGCCTCCCAAAATAAGTCATCTGCAAGGAGATGGTTATTTGGATGCTGTCCTTCCCTTTTTGTTCCATCACAGCTGTTGTCAGTTTTACCATGGGACAGAAGGATTCCTATGAACACCTATGAATTCCTCGTGTTCCATCTGGCAGTAGAGAACTGCAGCTACAGCTGATTGCAGGGGGCTTTCACCCCATGCCCTCGGAGGAGCCTCTGTGGGGCAGTGACCAGCACCAGCACAGCTGTCCTCTTCCTCCGGTGTCCTCCTGCATCCATTCTGCACGACTGGGTACCAGCTGAGGGGCTCCCCCTGGCTGCACTGATGAGCTTGCCCTCATTAGGGCTGAGAAAACAGACCTTTTACCCTACAGAAAGGAAAGGTGGTGGATTGCCATGTTACTGCTGGGGTGTCCGTGTCTCTGCATCAGTGGTGTTTGGTCATGCTGGAAGTCACAGCTGGTTGGCTCCTGGCTCAGCACATGTGAGGTGGGATTCAAGAAGCTATTGGGTTGCCAAGTTCTTTTGCCACCCTTCTCTGACTTAAGTTTTCTATCTGTTCCTTCATCTCTACGTGTATCTAGAGGCAATCTTTCTTTTACATGTGCCTGAAAGACTTGTACCTGCAGGCTAGAGCTGCTTTGAGCTCTTTTAAAGGCTGACCACCTTCATTTTTGTCTTGCTGGTGTTTCACATCCTGCTTTCAGCAACTCCTGCAGACTGGGATGTCTCTCAGAGCCACAGTGCTTGCTGTCCTGGCGAAGCCAGGGCTGAGTCACCATCTGGGGAGCACGTGGGACTGCGTGCCACCTCCAGGCTCCCAACACAGAGCATCTCCTCCCATCCCTCTGGTTTCCTTCCCTAGATGTAGCCTTCCCAGGGCTCCCTGGTTCCCCAGCTTCTCATGCCATCACATCCAGTCTTTGTCTCCTCTGCTTTGCAAAGCCCCCGTGCAGGCTGAGGACGTGCTGATTGTTATTGTTATTTCTGTTATTGTTATTTCTGCTCAGTGCCTCGGACAGTCCTTCTATTGCCACGAAAGCTTCTCCACAGTGAAGGTTGATAAGGGGAGCAGTTGCCAGGAGGAGCCCTCGCTCACAGTGCCCCGGCTCCTCCAGGCTGCAGGCAGTGTCAGTGGGTGATGCACAGAGCTGTGCCTCAGGCCAGTCCCCCCCATGGCTCTGCAGGCAGAGGAGGAGGCAGTCTGAGTTTGGTGGAGGAGGCGGCCAGGAGAGGGATATTTTAGATCCCAGGCTATGTTTTAAGCTTGTTTCTACTTTTTTATACAGTTCTTGAGAAGGCTGTTTTGGATGACTGCTTCATCCTTCACAAATTTAAACACAGACAATTTGCTTTGCCTCCTGAGAACAGCGCATCCCACAGTTTACTGAGTGGGTTATGCCCTGAAGCAAGATATTTATACACCCTGACCTGTCTAACAGCTGCTGCTGCTGCTCTTCGCCTGCCTTCACCAGAGCCCTCTCCATCCCAAAGCACCCCAGTGCTGTGCTGCATGGCACACGGGGGGCAGGGGGCTCTGGCTGCTCCAGCCCTGGCTCCTTGTGACCCCGTGTCTCTGTGCAGTCACATCTGCTGCTCCAGGTCCTGGGAGTGTGGGGCTTGCAGGTTGCACATGGTTTTCATCACTGGCCAAATCTTTTGGCTGCAGGTGAAGCGTGTTTTATTTCCCGTGGAGCTCAGCTGTGGCAGCATGCAGCACGATGTCTGCAGGCACACAGACCTCCTCTGTCCCCCTGCAGCACTGACTTGGAGGAAGGAAGGCACCTGTGGGGTGGAGGATGAGCAGAGCGGCGTTCTATGTCTTGGAGCATTTGTTACGTGCGCGCATATATGCAATGCCTGTTGCACGTGCACAGCCTGGACAAATCCATTGCAATGGAGAAAACAACAGCAGTTACCCGCAGTCAGTTGTGGTTCATGTTTATTCTCTTATTGTGGAATCTCAGTGCATCTGGGGATCTTCTGTATTTTGAAAGCACGTTGCAGGAATGGGCTTCTTGTAGTCAGGGGGTCTGAATGAGCGGCGCTTTGGGGGTTGTGGCATTCCCACCCCCTTGCCTGGGATGCTGTGGAGGAAGAGCTAGAAGCTGGGGCTCGGATCTGCAGATGTAGGGCTGGGATTTTCTTAGTGCCTTAAGCAAATCTCTCAGTTTTCTCTCCAATTTCCACCCACCACCCTCAGGCCTTGGGTTTTCCCACTTGCTGGCACTTTTTCCTTGCTTCTTCCTTCTGCAGTGAGGGGGGTAGTCAGCATTTGGCCACTCTTCCAGCTCCTGTGATGGAGGCAGGGGGAAGCCGGGTGTGCAGCTGCAGAGCACAGTGCTGGGCAGCAACAGGCAGTGCTGTCAGCCCTGGCTGCACGGTGCCTTGCTGGGACCAGGTCCAGGCTCCATCTCCCGCTGGCACACGCGTATATCAAGACTGCAGAGGGGATTTCATTGGACAGGTTTATCCCTTTAACAATTCTCGCTAGCCCGGAGATTTGCCTTGCAGGTATGTGGCTAACAGAGCCCTTATCAGCTCTTCTGCTCCCTGACAGGGACAATGAAAGGTTTCACTTGTTTGAAGAGCTGCAAAAATTGGCACAGGACGAAGCATTTCTCGGCCGGCAGCGAGCAGCTCTGCCGAGGGACAAAGGATGCCAGTATCCTACAGGAGGTGACACCTCATAGCCACCACGGCTCGGGCTTTATGTCTCCTGGGCTGCAGGAGGCCCTGTGCCGTCCCACTGCCCAACAGCTCAACCCCAGCGCCGCCTGATGCTGTGAGGGATGTGCACAGGACACACGTTCACACCGTGCTGGCCACAAAGCAGTGCACGTGAGCCTGCCTTCCTCCTGCACTGCATCCTTTGGCATCCGTGCAGGAGGGACCGCAGCTGGCATCCACCTCGCTTGTGCTGAAGTGCAAACCATTTAAAGGTATAATCTCTTTGCCTTGTTAATTAATAGTGCCAAATCCATCTCTCTTCCCTCTTCTTCGCTAATTGCTGGCTGGTAGCTTTTGTTCCCGTTCTATCCTTAATTCCCTGATCACCGATTCCCGGCTGACCGTCCGGTCTGTTTGTTTGTTTCTTCTGTGTG